TAGCACACATTTGGTGAAAAATAAAGAGTAAGTAGGTGAGATTTATTTGTAAAATCAATTATGCTTTAAAAATTAGATAGATGAAAAGATTGTAGATAGACAGATTATTTTATTAATTTATTTTCTTATTATTTTATTTTTTTTATTTACATTTTTTTTATTTATTTGTTTATATTATTTTCCATGTGTATCTTATGTTGTAGCTGATGCTTAAGTTAAATTTGTCGTCATCGCCAAGTTTGGCTGGCGGCAATCTGAGGATTTATGCTCCATAAAAAGGCTTGTTTAATTTCGTTAAACTCCAGTAAAATCGGGCACTTAAAATTCTGATTTGCAGGGCGAGGCGTGGTGCCATTTTAACTGCCCGAAAGCAACAGTAACTCCCAGTTCCCCATCCAAAATCCCCATGCAATCCACAGTCCGAATTGAAACCGAAACAGTAACTGAAAACAGTAACAAAGCTGGGCTGTGTAACAAATGGTATTTGCATATGCATATGTGCGGAATGATATATGGCCCTGCATATGCATGAGGAGGATTTTCCTGGCGCCGACTTCTTCAGGGCCAAGTCCTTTGCCAGAGTCGATCTCTCGAACTCCCAGCCGAGCCGAGTCGAGCCGAGCCATTCATTAAAAACCCAAGACTGACGGAGCAGCTCATTGCATATGCAACTGGCATATTGGCAGTTTTTGCTACTTTGCTACTGTTGCAGTTGCAATTTGTAATTTGTAATTTGCTTATCCGATCGGTTTTTTTTGCTAATTCGTAGCACATTCGAGGCGCCAACAACAAAAGCGTTTAGGAACAACACGGGGAACGTGGCGCCAAAACAAGAAATCATTGTGAAAAGCGATTGATTTTCCATAAGTAGCCGTGTAGTCCAGTAGAATGATTCATGAATGGCATTTCGTGTAGTTAGCCATGGGAAAGGCACTTAACCGTAATTGCTTACGACCGTCAGGGGGTTCTCTTTATATAGCCGTTCTGGAGCTGAGATCACGTAAGAACATTATTATCTTTTTCTTTTAACTGGACCATTTAAGGAATATCTTCGGGAGCTCATAAGTACACTATTTAAAGGTAGGACCACGACTTTGGCTCGTTCTTAATGGCAGATTATTGAGTTTACTGCATGTTATAAACACTAATTGCCAGTAAACATTTTTCGTTAGATATCAAAAGGTAAAATGGGAATGTTCGGGGCTCAAAAATGTATTTTTGCAAATTTGCACAGTCATAATTATAATCTAGAAAGTGAGCAAAATAAAGGAACCAGTTTGGGAGAAATCGACAAAAAGCTATAAAACTATTTTGATACAGAGTTGAATTGCTAATTTTGCCAAAATTTTTCAATATTTTAATTTTGAAAATCATATTACCTATTTACTTTGTCTTAAACAAACCTGAAAATAGTTTAAATTGTCTTAAAAAAATTTTAAAATAGTTTATTTACTATTCTTTAAATTTTAAGATCTAAATTTAAAAATATTTATTATAAATATTACAAAATGTAAATGGGATAATTGTAATACCATGTTCTTTTATTTTTTTATAAGCATGCTTAAGAAATTTATGAACTCCCCGTAGGTTGAACGATCCCAATCACGAATGAACTGGGGCCAACCATGGATACTCTGGGATGTTAAAGGGACTGGACTTTGGGGCATTCCGAAATCGGGGGCGAGGGTCAGGCTGATGACTTGATTGAATTCGCATAGGCGCTAGATGAAGGGGCTCATAAGCAATGCAGCTGGCGTAGGCCAAGTTAGATGGAGCGTGGTTTGGGCAACACGACGACAAGCAAACGACAAAGGAGAACCAGGAGAACTTGGCTGCTAACTTGGCTAGCAGAATGACAAGCCGCTTGTTATGCACGAGCTGCGTTCTTGTCTGGGGCACATTAAAGACACATGAATGGCCCGGCAATAAATATTATTAAAAATGTTTGCCTTTATGGCATGCTAAATGCGATGGCAGCAACAATTGCGACACTAAGCCACCGTAAGCCTATTATTTAATTTGCGCTGGGGGTTGGGGATGGGAAGGCGGTGCAAATGAACTTTTAAAGCGCCCGAAAAGTAGACAACAAAAAAGCCAGAATTTGCAGACAACTTCGCAGGACGAAGAAGAAGAAGAAAGGAGGTCGGAGTTCGGAGGACGGAGGACGAGTCGCGCCAGCATCATCAGTCATCACCCTCGCTGGAAGGCGACGACTGCTTTCTGTTCTCGGATTTTTGCTTTCGGTTTTCGTGCTTGGTTTTCCCTTTTTCGAGGGTTGCAAAGGGGAATTATTCGCCAAATAGAACGCCCGCCGAAGATATGTACTTTATATTTTTTGGCAACAAACAACAACTGAAACAGACGCAATTCGTTACGGTCAGCTACAGATACTTGTACTGATACGCACCAAGTAGACGGAGACAAAGTGTATGAGGAGTATGAATTAGGGGGGTATGAATGCCATATAGAGAATATAGAGATGTCTACTCGCTTTTTGGGACGGACCACCAGGGTTGCCAGCTGGGTTAGTTACTCAAAGGGAAGCGATTGAAAGGTCAAGAACCGGAAACTATTACTTAATTTTGTAAACTTAAATTTAAATTGATTTACAAATATTTAAATCTCTATTAAATACTTTATAATAATTTAATATATATTTATATAATTTTTAACTATATTTAGGATTTTATAAAATTAATTTAAAATGTTTTTCAATTAACATGAAAATCGCTGAATCAATATGACTTATTAAAGACTTGTTTTATGTTGAAAGCGTTAAAGCACCATTTAAATCTGCCTAAAGTGTAATAGTTAAGATTGCTTGGCTAATCGTTGGTTGGCAACACCAACTCAGAGACCCCCGGTTTCCCCGGTCAACTTGGCAACAGCGTAAAACTTTGATGGCCGAGAAGACACAGAACAAAGTCCAGCAATTGGTCATGGCTAAGTTAAACAATTTCTGGAAATCAATTTACCAAGCGAGCGAGCTACACTTTCATGTTAAATCAATTGAACTCAGGCGTGCGTGGAGTGTCACTCCTCGGGAATTCGAATTCTGGAATTCTTGCTGGCCAAGAGTGGCGAAGACATGCCGACCAGATACAGATACAGATACCGTTAGTGCTGAATGGTATGGGTATGGGTTTTGGTATGGGTATGAGTATGAGTATGGCATGGCCCAATGCCCGCAGCTCATCCCGCTAACAAGGCTAATTGGTCATGAAGCCTCTGGATTCTCAACTCGACTCGCGACATCCGACTCTTGGCCCTGGTCGGATCCTGTTTTTTCCTGCTTTCCGGCCTTCCTGTCCACCCACCTGTCCACGCGCCGTGACACCTGTCACATCACACAATGGAAATCAGTCGACATTGTCGCCTGGCATTTGGCCCCGGACGAATCACTTCTACTAGCCTGGCCAAAACTGTCGCTGGCTATTTATTTACTCAAGCGCTTTTTGTCCTGGTTTTCCGTTGGTCTGGTTTTGCTACCGCTTGTGCTCCTCCTGATGGATGGCACTTAACCAAGGGGCTGCATCTGTGGTTGGGATAGTATTGCATGGAAAAACGAGAAAAGAACGAAAAAACACAGGGTGCGGTTAGCTGGAGGAAACCCCCAAAAGTGAGTTCATCGCAAGAGGATTTAAAGCATCTTTCAATTCAGGCATTCAGCCTTAATGGTTAATGATTTTAATGGCACTCGCTCGAACGACAGGTATTCTATATATGAATCATGATTCACGGCCAGACGCAATACGAAATATAATAAAAAAAGAAAAAACCCAATCTGCTCTTTCGCTGAATTGCGATGAGAAATGAGCGCACAAAGAAGCCGTCGTCGTCGTTGAACAATAAACCAAGTTTGGATGCCCCTTGCACCCTGTACATTTGAAGCAGTGCCACCCACAATGTCACTATGGCCCCCTCGTGACCTCCCAACCCCCCAGACGCCGCCTGTCCTGCCCGTCAAGCTTCCATCCTTCCCTCTCCCTCGCTCTCTTTGCGCTTTGCATGTCCGGCATTTCGCACCAATTGCCATTAAATTTGCACGTATAAAGCGAAAATGCCAAAAATATTTCACGACAACGAGACGGCAGAAACATCAGAATCCGCATCCGAATCAGAAACAGAAACGGCGGCAACATCCCAGCAAGAACTGGAGTCGCAAGCAGAGCAAACATACAACATACAACAACAACAACACAGGCGACAATCGACAAAAGTTGGCAACACGTAGTCGGGATTGGCTTTGTGTACACTCAACGGAAAAATGGATAAATAAAAGTTTAAAAGTATAGAAACTATACAAGTAATATACCTTACTTTATTATTTATTAAATCCCCAAATATTTTTATATTAATGATTTTTTAATCCTACTATTATTGCAATCCGTTTATATGGTGAAAGTAAATTTGTATTCCTTATTTTAGTCCTTGTTTCCTTTAAAAATATATATATATTAAATTTTATGGTCTAACAATATCTTAAAATTGGTCAATTATTTTACACTTTAAACATTCAAAATGTATAAAGTATACAAATATGTAGTAATCAAAATAATAAAATAAATTAATAAATAAACAAATAAATTCTTCTGAATAACCCTTGGAAAAATTCAAACAAAACTCATAAAGAAATTCACTAATTTACCCCTGTTTTTATGTGAATAGATCCCCGAGAACCCATTTCTTTGAGTGCTCCGAATGCTATTGCTATTGGAGCGGGTGGTTTTTATTCCCGGCTTTTCTTTATGGCAGTTTCAGATGCTGCCCTTGGTGTTGCTGTTGCTTTTGCTGCTGTTGTTGTGGTGATTGCGATGGCAGTGGCAGTGGCAATGCGACAAATTCCACGCTCAAATGTTCGACACGCGCCGGCGCATTGGGCAAAGAAGCGCACTTTTTCGGACAGCAGACCGAGGACCGTGGACCACAAAGGACCAAGAAGCTGGGCTGCAGGCCAAAGGATGCCGGCAAAGCGGAAATGTTCAGTTCATTAGCGAAACGTGCGCGTCGTGTTATGGACGTGCCGGCTTTTCAGCTCCCAGAATCGCAGAATTTACCGAATCAAACGCTCAAACGGTTGGTAGCATCATTCGCTTTTGGCCATCTTATCTCTTAGCTCGGTTGTAAAAGTGCTAAAGTGTGGTCTAAAGTAAAGTGAGTGAGTGAGGAGAGCGCGCGCGCGACTTGCGAACTTTTTGGCCAATACAAAAGCCAAGTGCGAAATTGCCGGAGTAATTAAATAATTAATTGAACCGAACAAAGGAATTTCTCGGCATTTTTGGCAAGGCAAAAACCGAGAAGAGGAGAAACAATTAACTGGGTTTAATTATAGGAAAGGTCAATACTACTCAGAGGCCCAGGGAGTCACGCACTTTTTTGTGTGGGGACTATACATTTATTTTCATAGTTATGGCCAAGAAGAACTAAGAACCAAGAACCAAGAACCAAGAACCGGTTAACCGAGACATATTTGTCGTGTGTGAGCCGCCTTGTTTAATTAGAAGACGACACCTGTACTCGAAATGGCAGTGGGTACTCTGCATTTTGACTGGGTTCCTTCAGCATCTTTTTCTGTTTTTTTTTTCTACTTTTTTTTTTGGCCCAAACCAAACCGCAAAGAGCCGCTTGATGGCCAACTGACTGACTGAAGCAGCCAGAGCAGCCACTACAGCATCATCATCATTATCATCACAACAGCAGCATCATCATCATCATCGGCTTGGCCAATTCTTCTTCTTCCCCTTTTGGCCATGGCCAAGACCAAGACCACGAAGTTGCCAACCGACGAAGACCAAGAACTTGCCGACCTGAAGAGCGTGTGAGCCGAGAGTCGCTTATAGAGTAGTTTTGGTTTTGGCCAAAGTTACATGCTCGCTGCGCAGTCGGCGTCGTTAAAGCCGGCTTCAAGCGGCAGCGACTGCGCTGCAGCAGAGACGTCGGCCGCAGCAGAGGCAGCGGCAGCAACAGCAGCAGCGGCGGCAGCAGCAGCAGCGTAGTGAGATCCAATTGATGAGCAGTTCAGTTTGCTTTTGCTTTGCTCACACAGCATTTGGTTTGGAGTGTGCCTGTGTTGGTAGCTGCTGGTGTGTTCTTAGGCGCTCTCTTTTTTCTTCCGACGCCGCCGCTCTCTCCGCTGCAAGCTGCTGCTGCCGGCGTCGCTGCCCGCGTCGCAGTCGCCAGCCCCATACCTTTGATTTTGAAAAATAAAAAAAAAGCCGCGCTACGTAGGCTATATAAATAAGCAGCGAGAAGCTATTGGGTCCGAGTCTCTTTGAATTTTATGAAGCGGTTGTATCTTGGTGGTGCCCCAAGCAGCCGAAACGAACCATCTAACCAAAACCGCCAACTCAGAACCACCACCTCAGTTGGCCAAAACCATTCTTTTGCCTTCTTTCGCCTCTCCAGTGGATTACCTTTGCCCTAAAAAAAGAAAAAAACCAACGAAAGAATAAGAAACATCAAAAAAACTGTCAAGTGAATCGAAAAACATCGAGTTGAACAAACCCACAAAGTGCGCGAAATGTTGAGCTACGTGTAAAAGCGATTTAAAGGATCCTATAACTCTGTGAGATTCCGAATCCAAAAGATACGAATCGAGAAAGAAAGTGGCTAGTGATCCCATAGAATTCGGAGAGTTCTAAAACGACGAAAATCGTTCTGTTACTTGAGTGCAAAAGGTGAGTTTCGAGTTCCAGCGAGTGTCCTTCTCACAGGACATTGTGGTATTTTGTGGCCTAGAAGAAATCGTAGAAATATTGTGTGCGGATTTAATGTGCTAAAATATTTTAAAAACAATTTTTTTAATTTCAAATAATTTGTAATATTTAAATTCAACAAATTGAATGGATAACATTTTTGTCACTTAAAAAAAAAAAAAAAACCAAAAGTATTTTACCTAATGTGCTAAATTTTAAAAAATAAAAATTAAATGTTTTATGTTTCTTGGTTCAGAATTAAAATTTAATTTTCTCTGAAACTCTGTTTAAATCATTTTTAAAAAGAAATTGTGTGAAAGAACTTTAATATTATAAACTGTTTTCAATTTATTTTTATTTTCAAGATCTTTGATTAATATTCATTAAAAATATTATTTCCATTTTTAATTCAAGAACCTTTGTCGATTATTTCTGTCTGAGATGACTAACCTACGAATCTTTAGTAAATTAAAAATAATTCAGCGCCAACTTCTATTGCTAATAATAATTCATTTGCGGGCAATTTAAACCGGTGTTATGCACAAGTGTGACGCGTTGCGCAATTGTTTAAAGCCCGATTCAATAATTATTCATTTCCGCGACCGAGACATTGATTTTCCCCCCATCGCATGGGGTTCTCACCATCGATATTGAAAAGTTCCCTCTGAACTGGGGTGTCAACTCTTTGTAGGGCAAAAACCAGACCTCCCATTATGGCCACTTTTCCCCAGTGGAAGTGGAGGACGAAGGGAAGGAAGGGGTCACTGCATAAGCCGCTTTAATCTTTACGGCTGCCAATTAATAAAAATTAATTTGCTTACAACAAAATTAAAGCGAAAGCCAACCAGGCGTTAAAACGGCCTCAAAGTTATTCATTCATAAAAAAAAGAGCTTCGGTTCGGCTCGACGGCTGCTGCTGGTGCAAATTGCAGCCATTCAGTCGGTGGCTGGCTCACTGGCTCATTCATCCACAACTGGCTGCTGTTCGCTGTTGCCAGCACCACAGCACCACCGCTCCACTGCACCACTGCACCGCTAACGTAACTGCCACGCGCCGCAACCCAGACTGCCTTTTGGCCTTTTGGTCTCTTGGCCACGACCATTGTGCAAATAGTTTCCGCATGCACAGGCAAAAATTTGCTCCTTACAAAATCCATATTTAATGAAAAATTAATTTCTCTATGCCGTTGCATATTTAAGAATTCTTGGGAAGCTTTCCAATGCAAATAATGCCTTAGGTTGATAAAAATGTTCTTCTGTTTCGGAAAAAAAATCTAGGAAAACATTATAATGCTTAGATTTTTAAATGAAATAAATCGTACGAAAATTTATTGGTTCCCCAAAATTACAATAAATGGATTTTAATTGATTTCTTCTCTATAAATATTGTTGAGTAATTCATTTGATAGTTTCATATTAAATGTTCACAAATTTAATGCTTAAACTGATTTGGATAAAATCTGAAAATATTTTCCACGTGTTTGTTTTACGGAAATTTATGAAAAGCCTGCTGCAGGCTGAAAATTTCCAGAGAACAGCTCTAATTAGAATTTATGCCCACACCAACTGGCGCGGAGCTTTAAATGGCCAGCAGGCCAGCGTAGCGTCGACATTTGTCAAACTCGTAAAAACTAAAATTGGCCGAATGTAAAAGCTTTTAGTTAGCCATAAATAATACAAACTATGGCTGGAACAACGAGCCCGCCGAGAGCGAACGAAAGAGCCCCATGAAATAAAAGCCAAAACGATATATTTATAGTAGTTACAAGTGCACAGAGAGGAGGGGTCTAGGTCCTGATATGGTCCTGGTCCAGGTCCTGGTTCTGTTTCCCGGTTCCCAGTTACCAAGTCCCGCTTCCTTTGGCCGGGGGCCCAATAAAAAATGCAAATAAAACGCTGCCGCAATATGTGGCCATCCCTTTGCCTTTTCCCCTCCGATAAAAAACAAAAAAAAAAAAAAACCAACTGGCTGGCAAACATTTTCAACCTGAAATGACTTTGAGTGTTATTTGGTTTGCCAGAGATTTCATTGGCAGCTGGCCAGAGAGTTTGAGTTTGAGCCTGACATTCGAAGGGCCCTGACCATGACTGTCCAGCAGCAGCAGGTGTTTGGTTGTGGCTCCCCTTTTTCTATTTTGGGGAGGCCATGTAAAAGTGTCCTGGAAATAGTGTGATTTATAGACAGGGTCCAAAGGGAAAGGGGAGACAGCATAGCAAATTTTTTGACATTGGGTTTTGTCTGCAGCGGCGCCAGCAGGAATACGGATTTATTGATGAGCCAACAGGAAACATGGCCAATGCGAGTATCGGAAACGGAGTCTAGTTGTATAGTTGTAGTTGCGGTATATGCCGACCCATTCCGATTTTGTTCTGTGGTCTCAGCATTTTTCCAGATTCCACGACACATCTGCTGCAGCATTTTAATTAAAAATGCCTCAAACGTCTCCTCTCGTGGAGTTAGAGTTGGTCCAAGCCAAGCCAAGCCAGGCCAGGCCAATATAATGATGACATAAATGCCTCGACTTAGGGCACTTTAAGTCGTGTGGTTTTCAGCTGCGGTTGCGGATTGAATAAAAAGCGTAGAACTTCCGTTGCCCCTGGCGAAAGATAGAAAAAAGTTTGTTAGACATAGAAAGATAGATAGGCAGAAACTTTGCTTTGAAACTCCATCACTCCATCACTCAGGGGAGCGAATCGCAAAGTTCGACACTTTGTTTTCTGGCCAAGTTTTACGAGCTTATCGCCGGCACACACTGCGTATGCTTGATCCACCTGAGGGTTTGATGAACTGTAGCAGAAGCAGAGATCTGCGACTACTTTCCATAGTCACTTTCAATATCGCTTTAATTTTATGCCTTTGTTTGAAAGCTTTCTTTGTGATTTTTGTATTTCTATATGTACTGACTTCTTCGGCTTCCTTAGCTTTTGCCAAAAACTAAAATTATCATAACAATTAAAAGACGCTGTGCAGCCAAGTTTATTCGGCTTCTTGGGCTCTTTAACTTTTATGTTAATTTATTTTAATTTCCATGTCTTTTGGAAAGAAAGATTAAAGCAACTGCGGAGGACAGCTCCCTCCGAAATGCGCAGAAAAAAGTCTTTAAAATATTTAATTGGCTGCCATGAAGCTACTATTTTAAGTTATGATGCGGGCCTCGTCGACACACCTGAGTTCTGACATCAGCATGCCAGAATATCATGCAAGATCACAGGGAAAGGAGCCACCGAGAACTTGGAGACGAGAACTCGACAAATTACATAATGATAGGCTGGCTGGTCCAGGCTAATGTCCCATTGTTGGGCTACCATTCTGCCGTTAGGCAAAGACTGAAACCAGAGTTCTGAGACAGGAGGATGAGGAGCCTCCCTCCTTTCCATCACATCTCATCTCATCACATCACATAATTTAATTAGACCCACTGTATGCAAATGATATGCTGCGCTAATTGAGTGAAAAGCTGTGCGAAAGCCTAATGAGCCGAGGCCGAGGGGTCATGGATGTCATCTGGTGACGGTATCCAGCACCCAATATCTAGTATCTCGCATCTCCTCGCCGGCGGATGCAAGCCACTACGGTCGTGACTGCCACACTCGGTTATCAGTTAATCCGATTATGGCCCGTGTCTGTGGGCCCGTAACACACAGAGAACAGGGCCTGTCGATGGCCAATATCATGGGATTTGAGACCGGGGTTTATGGCTTTAAGAGTGCACAAATTATGTCATATAAATGTAACTTTTCTGTTATTAATTTGTACAACAAATAAATTTATACGGAAATATACGCCATTATAATTCTAAACACCTATTAAACTTTTGATTATATAAAATATTTAATTATGACGGACAACCTCTTATAATTTTGAGTATTATGTCATATATCGGAAACATTTCTGATTCTAATTTAAATAAAAAACAAGAAAGGAAGCTAGCTTCGGCCAGCCGAAGCTTATATACCCTTGCAGATCATTCCTATTAATTAACAAATCGCAAAAATGTTAAATTTTCTAATATTTATCATTAATTTTCCGATGGTTCCGATGACAGCTATATGATATAGTCGTCCGATTTTGATCAAATTAAAATTGAAATTCGGAATTATTTAAAAAGAGTCATATCCTAGAGTAGAAGATAATACAATAAAAACCAAAGAAGCTAGAATTTATTTCCTATTACTTTTCCATTAATTTTCCGATCGTTCCTATGGCAGCTATATGATATAGTCGTCCGATTTTGATTAAATTAAAATTGAAATTCGGAAATATTTAAAAAGAGTCATATCCTAGAGTAGAAGATAATACAATAAAAACCAAAGAAGCTAGAATTTATTTCCTATTACTTTTCCATTAATTTTCCGATCGTTCCTATGGCAGCTATATGATATAGTCGTCCGATTTCGATAAAATTAAAATTGAAATTCGGAAATATTTAAAAAGAGTCATATTCTAGAGTAGAAGATAATACAACAAAAACCAAAGAAGCTAGAATTTATTTCCTATTACTTTTCCATTAATTTTCCGATCGTTCCTATGGCAGCTATATGATATAGTAGTCCGATTTTTTAAATAATTAATTCGAAATTCAGAAATATTAAAAAAATAACATCCCCAAAAGTAGAAGGTAATATTTCAAAAAACACCGAAGTTAGAATTTTTAAAGTTTTTTTTCCGATTGTTCCTATGGGAGCTATAAGATATAGTTGTCCGATCCGGTCGGCTCCGACATATATACTACCTGCAATAGAAAGAAGACTTTTGGGAAAGTTTCATCCCGATAGCTCAAAAACTGAGAGACTAGTTTGCGTAGAAACAGACAGACGGACAGACGGACAGACGGTCAGACGGACAGACGGACAGACGGACATGGCTAGATCGACTCGTCTAGTGATGCTGATCAAGAATATATATACTTTATGGGGTCGGAAACGTCTCCTTCACTGCGTTGCAAACTTCTGACTGAAATCATAATACCCTCTGCAAGGGT